AGCGGGTTGTGTGTGTGCTTACGTGTCAACAAGGTGTTTTTGTTATTTGCCGCTGATGAGAGTGATCAGAATCTCCACCAAGCCAACATGAATCGGAGAGACGAGAAGTTGGTGCTCAGAGGTCTCATTATCACTCTCCGTGATAATGGTCTCTCCATACGGGGTATCGCACATGAAGTTGGCCTGTCCCCACAACTGTGATGGAGTGGATAATAAGATGGGAGGAGAGCGGTAACCTTAACGACTTGGGTGATTATTGCCATTCATCGTTTTCGTCGTACTGCTGCCATTAATCGCCCGTGGGTCGAATGTTGCCATTTTTGTTTTCGTCGTACTGCGGCCGTTAGTCCCCCGTAATGCGATTGATGCCATTTTTAATTTTGGTCACACTGCTGCCATTAATCGTACATAGGGCAATTGTGGCCATTTTTTTCTTTTGGCCGCACTGCTGCCGTTAATCTTACGTAAGGCGACTGTAGCAATTCTATATGGAACAGTTTACATTTTTGACATTTGATACACAAATGCGTTGTAATACAAATACCTAGACAATTGGCCTGCTCTAGGGCCGTCTCGACCGCCAACGAGTAACCTGACACACTGAAACTAGTGAACGATTTTTTTCTATAACTTATGTTTATAAAGTGTTTGTCTTATAGAGATCGTGCGCCACCATCCTCGGATTACCTTCATCATACACAGTACATCTTACATACTTTGCCTGAGAAACTGATAGGCCAACATTTTCCCCAGCACTAACCGTATCATGTTTCCATTTCATATCACGTCTCTTGTATTATCTGTCTGGTGTATCAGTGTTGGTTATAACAATGATCACACACGATAATGGGTCGTCAGTGAGGACCGCTATTTCACACCACATGTGAAAGAAAAATTTATGTTGCTTGAGTTTAACTAAGTGTGACAGTCAAGGGTAACCTGACTCGGTAAAACACACCTGGTTCAGTGTCGCTCTCCTCACACCTATTAGTTGTTATTATGCCAAATACTAAACCTTTATCACTGGTTTTAATTTGAAAATTCAATCTAATATTATATATATATATATATATATATATATATATATATATATATATATAATATCACACAGGGAATAGGGAAACAATGGAGCACCTTTGCTAGCTTTCGTCTTTATTCAAGACCTCTTCAGTGGCAACTGAATTACATGGACAGAGAGAGGCTTAAATATACAGGGTGACCTTATTATATATATATATATATATATATATATATATATATATATATATATATATATATATATATATATATATATATATATATATACAGAGAGAGAGAGAGAGAGAGAGAGAGAGAGAGAGAGAGAGAGAGAGAGTATTATACGGAAAACTTCAAGTAATGAATACATTGAAGGCTCTTGATATATGAGCTCTGTTCAACTATTTCTTACAATGTTCATTCGAAACTAATTTCCCTATTGTATTCTGATATTCGAAAGGATACTCCTATCACGATAGATTTCTGCTCTTGTAAACAAGATATTAACACATCTTCATCACCCATCAGCAGTAACGTTGGCCGATATTATCCTTCCAATCTCTTTGTTGATGCGTATTCGTTTGAATCACACTGCTCCGTTGCCAGTTCCCCTGTGTGTGTTGGTGGAAGGGTCGGCGTAGTGACTTGTCGTCCAGGAAGGGTACAACAGACTATGTACCCTTCACCGCCAGTGTACCACGAACTTCTGAACGGAACTGTTCATTCTCACCAAAAACGTCTCGAGCACTATAAGCACTAAGCAATCTGAAAAATGAACGAAGAATCTGAAACCATTTCGAGATGACAAGTCCCATTCTGCTCATTCTCACATCCATTGTGTCCAGGTGTTCGAGAATTTTTGTTGAGAGTATACTGTATGCTATTGAATACCTTGACAAATTCTAGGTATTAGAGGGTCCCAGGGGGAGCCTAGGGAGCCACAGAAGGTCAAAGAGAGTCCTAGGGCTCCTAAGAGGGTCTCAATGGGGTACTTTAAAGGTTAAACGGTGCATTAAATGCTCCCAAGGGGTCCCAATGAGTTTTTAGATATTCATAAGGGGTCCCAGGGGATACCTAAGGGGTCCCCAAGGGATGCCTAAGGGGTCCCAGGGCGTCGTAGGGGGCAATATAGATCATATTGGGTTGTATGAGGGCTCAAGGAACCCGTAGAGGGGTTCTTATTGAATTTCGGGGGGTTTAAGACGGTCCAACGGATACTAGGGGACCTTAATGTGTTCCAAGGGTCACGGGGGGGCTCCTGATGGATCTCTGGTTATGGATATTATAGTGTATTATTGGGCTCCAGAGTCTCCTAGGATGTTCCTGGAGAGGCCAGGGAGTTCCCGTGAGTTCCAGGGGTTCTTACGGAGTCACAGGGCGTCGTAGAGGATAATCAAGGTCTTAGGGGGCCGTAGAGGGGCACAATCGGTTCCCAAAGGATCCCGAGGGATTCCAGGGGTCCATGGTGGGGTTTAGGGGGTCCGAAGTAGCCATTGAGGATTACAGAGGTCATGGGGAGTTCCAGGGCGTTACAAGGGGTACTAGGCGGTTCCCAGGTGGTCCCTAAGGGGTCTCATGGGAATTTTACCGAGTCCCTAGCGGTTCTAGGGGGTCCCAAGGGGGAACCAGTGGGACCTCTGAGTTCTTCCACTTACAATGACTTTGTTACATCATCATTTACCACAACGCCGCCACATCGCACAAGATTATCTTAAAGATATAAAAACTGATTGTCATTGGAATACAATCTTAAGAAATACACCACAAAAGAATATTATTCGCTTGTGGTAATGGTCTTTACTTCGAATTATGTTGATGAAAATAAAATAAATTAGTCAGTTTTACAGTGTGATACAATAGCTTTCAGTGACTAGGAAATATTTTGACGTCAAGGTATTATTTATTGTTTTCGCAGAGTGATGTTCCTGTTATATATTATGAAATATAATCTCTGTCACTGCTCACACACAGTGTTATTCTCGTTTTATATATTTCATCTCCGCAGTTCAGTAACATTCCACTCACGAGGTGTGAAAGTAACGGGAAAGACAAACGTGTAGTGGCCAACCCGTACTTTCACCACCGGCAAGAAGGCCACCCAACATGCTCCAATGAACTGCTATTATTGCCGCCTTTACCTGTACGTGCTGTATACACACACACACACACACACACACACACACACATATATATATATATATATATATATATATATATATATATATATATATATATATATATATATATATATATATGCAAGTAAATCACTGTGGGTGCGCGTGATCCAGGTATATGCTGATAACCACAAGGAAAGAAGAAAACACGAAGTTCCCAAGTGCTTTCGTGTAATTCACATCTGTACTCACCCCTCAAGATGTGAATTACACGAAAGCACTTGGGAACTTCGTGTTTTCTTCTTTCCTTGTGGTTATCAGCATATACCTGAATCACGCGCACCCACAGTGATTTACTTGCATATATATAAGAGTGCGGAGGTCATACTGCAATTATATCTTGCGCTAGTCAGGCCGCTCCTCGATTACGCTGTTCAGTTCTAGTGCCCTTATTATAGAATGGATATCAATTCACTGGAGTCGGTGCAGCGAAGAATGACAAAAATGATTCCGGGACTTAGAAACCTTCCCTATCAAGATAGATTAAAGAAACTAAACTTGCATTCCCTAGAAAATCGAAGAGTGCGGGGAGATATGATAGAAGTATTTAAGTGGGTGACAGGAATCAATAAAGGAGATATCGATAAAGTTCTTATAATATCCGGGCAGGATAGGACTCGTAGCAACGGATTTAAGTTGGATAAGTTTAGGTTTAGGAGGGAGATAGGAAGAAACTGGTTCACAAATAGGGTGGTGGACGAGTGGAACAAGCTTAGCAACTTTGTAGTAGGTGTTGGAACGCTGGAAAGTTTTAAAAGGAGGCTAGATAGATTCATGGATGATAGAGAGTGGTAGTAACTCTCAACAGGAGTTGCCATGCACAGGCCAACCGGCCTATTGCAGACTCCTTATTTTCTTATGTTCTTATGTAAGTGTGAGGCCATATTATGAGTGTGTCAGGAGTGCACCCCCCACACACGTCCACATCTAAACAAATCCCTTACCCATACCTACATACCCACACTCACCCATCCACCTCCACACATCCACCCCTAAACAGACATCTACCCCTAAACGGACACCTCCAAACCCACACACAAACCCCACACCCACAAATACCCACCCACACATACACACCCACACATACACACCCACACATACACACCCACAAACCCCCTCCCCCACAACACACACACACACGTGCGTACAGAGGGAAAGCGTTCGGTGTCACACACACACACCAACCTAACTTACCCATGCACACACAAACACGTTCAGCGGGAAAGTTTTTACACACACACACACACACACCAGGGGCGGATCCAGTGGGGGGTGGGGGGGTCCTGGGGGGTCCGGACCCCATTTCATCATAAAATTCCAATACTTTTTCTTTATTGCAGTCTTGTACTCGTGCGTCTTTGTATAGTAAAAATTAATCACTATTGACCTCAGTATATCTCCCATTATCAAGTGCACATGGTTTCAAAATGGCCTCAAAATGCCCATAAATATTGGTCAGATTTAAAAAAAAAATCTGGTAGGCTTACAGCTCTCCCCCCCCCCCTCAAAAACCCTCAGCTGGGTCGACTCGCTGTGCACGCCATGTTCCCCACCCACAACTTATTGGACCCCCACCCTGATATTCTTCCTGTTCCTGCACTCACTCACACACACACACACACACACACACACACACACATTCGAGTCATGACCACAATTTTTGGATTATGTTTTATTGTTGCCATTCGTGCGGAACGTTTTGTCGGTGTGAGGTGGTGGGAGGTTGGGGAGTGTTTGGCAGGAGCTGGGGTTGGTCAAGGAGAGAGTGGGCAGGGGGAGGGGCGTGGTGGGCGTCTCCAAGTAGATGTATATATATATACTCAGGTGCTCGTTGAGGGTGACATTAGACTGGTTGGATAAGCCGTCATCATGGCAGCTCAGGTAAGTACTCGTTATACAGTGTGTTATACTTTTGTCTCGTATATACAGTAACTTTTGTCTCCGTGAAGGTAATTATACTGAACTATTAACACTAAACTTATTATGTATTTATAGTATTTAGTGATAATTGGTGATGTAGAGAATGCTATTTAATCTGAACACTTATATTTATGCACTGTAATTATTTTGTGTATGTATGTAAGTATGTATGTATGTATGTTTGTAAGTGTATGTATGTATGTATGCATGTATGTATGTATGTATGTATGTATGTATGTATGTATTTTGTGTATGTACAGCATGTGTATGTGCCTTTGGATGTAGAGTACATTATATAGTTTTAAGGGTATAAACATTTCAAAAACACCCAATTATATTTTATGAGTACAAGTACATTTGTGTGTGTGTGTGTGTGTGTGTGTGTGTGTGTAATATTAACACAAAAATACTTATTATATGCTGAAAAAAAATCTTAGGCCATATATAAAAAAACCGGCTTGGTTCACATACACCAACACTAAAAAAAACCCACTGGAGCCATTTTATTGACTTAAAAAATACAATACGTATATACCACAAATTAGAGTTTCCCCACAACATAATTTAATTAATTTTTAGTTGGTTTGGAGGAAATTTATTCCATACCAAATGGCGGGTGTTAGAACTCTCTTGTCATAATTATTTAACCGTGTTTTAAAAAAGTAACAAGAGTTTTTAATCATAGGTTTAATATGAAGGTGACACTAGTTTATTTTACTCAAGCGTGCTCTCAAATAACTCCAATTTTTTTTAGCTTATTAGATACAAAAAAATATTGTGAAGGAAATAAAAAGGTATTATACAGTACATGTTTTAAGTTGTATTACTATATACAGTAAAATATACTGTACTGTACTATATTAACATGGCTGACAACTACATCCTCACCACCATCCTTCAAGAGTTAAACCATCGTCATCGAAGAATTGATGGCTATACCATCATCCTCAAAGAGTAAAACAAATACCTTCAAAGAATTACAATTGGTCTTTATTCTCGAACTGTTAAGAAAATTTATTTCTAAGGATAAACTGTTCTCCTATAGTACTGCACAGTATTAATTTGCCCCCTCACAGATAGTGATATTCTCATGCCTTGTGATGGTGGCCCTGGCGCGTCCTGAACAATCAGCTCTCAATCTCCAAAACTTCCAATCAAGGTCTCCCAGAGTGCACAGCGTAACAGCACATGCCAACTCTGATGCTATACCATACACATCACAAGGAGGTTTTCAGGGCAAGACTGCTGACTTCAATCCCACAGCATCTGCATCAGCGGGATACCAGGGCACCGCAGGTCACCAAACTTCTGCGAGGGGTCACCAGGCTCCAGCATCTGTAGCCTACCAGGCTCCAATTTACACAGCCTTTGACCAAAGTGGTGGAGGAGCTGGTGCAGGATACCAGAACCCCGAGTCACCAGGATACAGGGCTGGAGGCGGCATTATATTCAGTGGTGTACCATCTGGGGGGCAGGGAGGGAAGGCAGTTCCCGAGTACGATGGTTCAACTTTCCACGGTGCCGACCAAGTGGCTCACGTAAGTCTACCACTGCACATTGTGTAAATAGTGTATATAATAATGAACACCTCCAGGTGCCCCAAGGAGACGACGGGTTGCTCCGTTTTTACTTTGATGTCTTGCTGGTTCAGGCAATTTTTGACATAGGAAGCTGAAATTTAAACAACAGTGACCAAGTGCATTGGCAAAATTAATGCTATTTTTCTCAGTTTTTCATTCGTATTATACATTTCACAAGTTAACGCAAGTTAATGTTTTTCAGGAATAATTGCTGCTGTGATCATTTTAATAAATTTCAAGATTTTATGAAAATACAGTATGTACAGTACACAGCAAAAATAAGAAGATAAAATACCAGCATAAGCTAGATGAAATGACTATCAGCTTGAGCAATCTTCACTAAACTATTTTCTGAACCTACACTAACCCAAGGAGCCCTCACTAAACTGAACAAACCAGTCCTAACTTTACTTAATCTAACAATCTTTCATTGTTAGCTTTGTATTTTATATTGCATGGTGCGGTTCACTTTGACCAAATTACCCCCTTCGTGAGTAAGACTGTATATTTTGTGCACAAACATTGTCGTACATGGATGACTTTCTTACCTGGACCTGTAGTAACAACCTTAGCGTAAATTAATCGGATAATGTAACTTGAGCATCAAATATATTTGTTATTGATGATACATATATGCATGGCTTATAGGGGGGGGGGTAATCAGGCCATTAAGCATTTACATTATTTTTTAGATTTAAGCAGTCACTTATCTCTAGATACAGTAGTCATATAAATGTGATTATCAATGGATTACATGATTTGATACATCCAACTGCAGTGTGACATCTTTTTGGCCAAATGTATATAGTGTAAGTGTAACAAGTGATCAATACTGGTGCCCCCCACAGCCCCACACCTTTGGATACGCCGTCGATGACTCCTACTTCGGGAACCAGCACGCTCACAATGAGTACTCCGACGGGCAGACCACCAAGGGATCCTACAGAGTGTTACTTCCGGATGGCCGCACACAGGTCGTCAACTATTCAGCCGATGCCAAGAGTGGCTTCCAGGCTCAAGTGACCTATGAGGGTGAAGCCAAACCATATCAGCCTCCTGAGAAGGCTGCTTCTGGCTTCAACCCACAAGCTGCTGGTGGAGGTGGAAGTCCCTCATATCAAGAACAACAAGCACTCTATCGACCTTCTGCCTAGTGCATTACACACACCCTCTACTACTTTGTTGATTTTGTCTGTTATGTGATCTTTGTGTAATACAAGATAACAATGGATTTTGTTTGTTTTTTGTCAGTACAACGTGACAAAGAAACATAAACTGAGAATAAGTGTGAAAAGGACCTGGATTTGCATGTTAAAAATGAATTTAAGTTCTTTGACCGTTGTGAGAAGGTAAATCAAGTAGCTAAACTAATAAGTATTGTAAGAAAGGCATTCACCTACCAGACGGTCTATCCCTCATAACGCTTCTCATAAGTGAGGTACTGTCACTGTCTGGTCCAGGAGATATTCTGGAGAAACTTTATTAAAAACACCCAAGGGAGAGCCACCACATTGGTGCCTGCACTACAGCACCCTAGGTGCCCAGAGAGATTGGACTGCCTGTAGGTGCTGAGCTTATACTACAGGTGGGCAAAGGGTGACTTTATAGAAGTCTATAAACTCCATAGAGGACATTACTCAGTTGAGTATTCATACCAGGAACTAGCAGAAGCCCGCTCAACTAGAGGTCACAGCCTCAGGTTGAAGACCACAGGTTTCAGAAAATTGTTGAGGTAAATTACTTTGGAGAGAGAGTTCTGAACTCTCAGAATATTCTACCAGAGATGTATAGTATGACAATTGTCACTAGAGGCACTAGCGATGAGCTTGATGATGTAGGATACTACTGCTGGGAGGGTCTTGCATGGGGGATTTGTAGTGGGTAATGTTGTTGTCCGCTATGAGTATCTTAATTCAGTGACCACTGTGTTGTACCAGAGTCAAAAATTTGCTTTCTTCAAGAATTATCCTTGTCCTGAGGAAAACACTAGCCAACTGGCCGTATTACCAAGACATCCCTGTAGGTCTCAGTGCCCAGTGTGGGTGGCAGGGGTGATAATGGTAACTTTCGTAATCGTTTTCATTTTTCTGAGGAAGAATCTTTTTTTATACTGGGATGACTTTACTTGTGGCCACAACCTCTTAGTATGTAAATTCTGAAAGACCTCTGTACCCTAGTGGCAATAATGTACATATAATACAGTACGGTATTACTTAAAAGTCAACTTGGCTCTCCCTTTGATTGACCTTGTTAGCACCCTTGCTCATCCAGTGTTCAGTGTTATTTCTTGAATTTTTTTTTCAGTTTTCCCCAGCAGTTATTGGTACTGTATCACTATGAGCTGCTTTTAAAGAACAGTTTTCCACACCACACTTTTAATCTTCCTATGAATGGTGGGTCACACACACACAACCAGTCATTAAAAATCCTTGCTTTATACATATTGTAGCACCAGTTTTGTTTTTACATTTTACTTAAGCACTCGTATGCCTGTTGTTTCCTGCAATGGTTTACTATTATTCTGCTTTATTTGTAAATTAACTCAACAGTACTTACTGCCTTAGATATACTTTACTTTTTACTTTACGTTTATCCTCTTCGCCACTGATCGGCTCGCTAGCCGCCCGGGCGATCGGTCACGTCTCTGTCACGCACTGTTGGCAAATACTGGGCATGCACCGGCTCCTGAATGTACCTGAACCGGCTCCAGTGTTGGTCAAGTCTTGTCTTGAAAGAGCTCACACTCGGTGCCGTCACAACACTTTCTGGTAGATTGTTCCAAGAGTTTACAACCCTCACTCCGAAAAAGGTTGCCCTCACAGTTTTCTGGACTTGCGGCTTCTTCAATCTTGAGCTGTGACCCCTTGTGGGGCGAGCGTCCGCCAGCTCCAAGTAAGGACACTCAACTGAGTAGTGCCCCCTGAGATGCTTATACACCTCAACTAGGTCCCCTCAGTTTGGGGATTTGTAGATACACCCGACGATAAGTAAGTCCCCTCCCTTTAATTTAATTTTACACCACTTGAACTCTTCAAAAACATCCTCTCCCTGTACCCTCGCCTGGCTGGCTCTAAGGTCTTGCCTAGCGTAGATAACCACACCCCTCCTGCAGGTTTCTTGAGATAGGTTCGTAAATGAGTCATATCCAGCAATACTGAACTCACATTCCTCTGGGTCGATTCTCCTGTTCTTGTACAACAGTTCTACAACTCCTACAATATCTGGTTGGTGTACTCTTAGTAGTGTTTCAAACTCCTCTCTCTTATCAAGGAACGTGTCAGCATTAGTGTACATGACATTCAAGCCAGAATTTGTTCTCGGTAACGTCTCTGCTCTTAGTAATAAACCCGCTCCCCCCACATTCTCAGAAGCTGCAGCATTTGCTAAGTACACTGTATTTTGCAGGGTGTGGTTAGAAATGTCATTGTTTACACGGCGCTCGCCCCCCTCCTGTCCGGTAGGCTGAGCTGGTGCCGCCTCCCGGGTGGGGGGTTGAGTGGGTGGAGGGTGCACTGCTGCCCCCTGGCCCTGTGTCGGCACACTTGTTTCCACTACCCTCCCCCTGAGTATAACCCATGTACACCTGTCCCCGTTCCTCCTCGACTCCTCCCTCTTCTGCTTCAAGTCCTGCAGGAGCTTCTTGTGCTGTTCCCTCTGCATTACCGTGCGGTCTGGGTGAATGAATACATCCCGAAATGCCTCGCTCCTTGCTAAGTTTTTTGCCTGCCGAATAACTTGCCATTTCTCCTCCTCTCCCCGAACAGTAGGTCCGTTAATTTTCATTTCTTCGACACACTTCTTCAAAGTCCCAAGCTGTTGTAGAACCTGTACTGATTCTGCATTACTCTCCGCCCCCTCCCGTGGCCCTCCTAATACGTCAGCATAACTCCTCTTAGCAACCACCTCCATTCTATCAGCTACTTCCTCAGTCTTGGCAAGGATCTCTTTCCCAACTTGCTCCAGTTTGTCAACCAGCAGGGCTCCAGCTTCATCTATTTTCGTCCCTAGAGAACTCGTTCCCTTATGGCTTGCAATCGCTTCATTCACCTTGACTATGCAGCCAGAGCAATACCAGCAACAGCCATCATGCTTTACGGCAGTTAGTAACTTCCTAAACGTTGCATTAGTCGGGCCTGTATCCTCCATATCGGACGTCTCCCTGCAGTAATCACATATCAAACTCATGGTTGTTGTTGTTGTGGGGGTGGGGGGGCGTGCAGACTGTGTATAGATCTACACCCATTTTAAAAAAGTAAAGAGAGAAAAAGAACAGTACTTAGCTACTCTCTGTTGCCTATAGAGTTGTCGTCTGTGACTGCGTACACTGTATCTCCCTGTGAGTGGTGTATTGTAGGCACAGATTCAGTCCTTGAGAAAGCACACAAACAAAATAAAATTTAAAGTCTCTGTGGCACCTATGACACGACTTGGTTTCAGCTGGCACGGTGCCTTTCCAGCTTGCTTGCTAGTGAGCGCTCACTTTAAGTTATTTACAACTTCAGCGGTCACTGATGACACTATGAACTATCACTGTGTACACTGTATCTCCCTGTGAGTGGTGTAATATAAACACAGATTCAGTCCTTGAGAAAGCACACAAACAAAATAAAATTTAAAGTCTCTGTGGCACCTATGACACGAATAGGCTGGCAGTTGTCCTTACCAGCTTGAATGCCAATATGTTTTCACTTTAAGTTATTTATAGTCTCTTCTTCAGTCACTGATGACACTATGAACTGATTTAACTAAAGGCACAGTACTACACTCCCTGGTTGGCCTTTATCACTGTCATGTGGCAGTGGTTGTGTGGTTATAGGCCTGTGACCCTGGCTGTACCTCCAACTTGGTGGAAATTGAGTTTTCAAAAATACAATCGCGTCTAGCATTAAAAGTCCTACATCGATTTCCACTTTCACATCACTAAGACGATCTTGACGATCTTGTGTAATCACTGTCCAAGTTCTGCCGCTCTACATCGAAGGCCCGAATGCCGAACACACTTTGTTACAGAGACGCAACACACCCCGCCCGCCCACCACACACACACACACACACTGATAGTCACATACAGTAGATGGTGAGTCAGTCATGGATGCAGATAATCTAAACCTTCTGTACATGTCATGACATGTGGCACTAAATTGGTTTTGGTTGTATCCACACAAGCTTGCTTCCACTCTTGCACATAGAATTGATCTTCTATCACACATGACAAGTGATGCAGTCATATCACTAGAACGACTTGATGTTGGAACAAAACACTGACAATGCAATGAAAGTTTACCGATTAATTATGAATGATTAGTTTCTTGATTCCCAATATCAAGAGCATAGATTATGAAAGTGTTAAAAGAGTAGACAGGTGTCAGAGTGTTGTTCAGGGCATCTGAGTAGTTTGGGTATGATGAATTTTATGACTGTTAGAGGGAGGAGCTGGATCATCTTTTACTGGGCACCAGAGATCACACAATGGTTTAACTTTTCAGTCCTAAACTCAATCTGCTTATGCATGCCTAATAAAAAAAATGCAATTGAATAAATTAACAATACACATTTGTTAGACATGCAGGTAATGCAAAAAAAAAAAATCAAACGAAAACCTTGGTTAGCACCTTCAGTCCCTTATTTCCTAAGCAGTGTGATAACTTGGATCACTGCATCTTTCTGGCCTGTCTTTGTGCGGGCATGTTGTTTTATACTGTACAGTACTCAAGGTTCATCATTACCATCATAGTCTTCTAAAATAAGTACTGTAATTCTTTCCATAATAATTGCATCTATTTCTTCCCATGTTGCCACACAGTTACATTCACCTTTTTTGTTTTGTGGTTACCAGACACATGGATGTCTTTAGTAGCTGCCAGATGCAAAGTGCCTCAATATGTTGGCCAAACATAGGAAACAAAAAAACCTTCATAACCTGTAAATTTATTTACAAAACTTTTGAATTCCATTAGTCCGAATTTACACATTATCCTGGCATCACTCAGGAGGATAACAAAGTTTATATATCTATTAAATCCTTCAATTTTCAATACTAAAGAGCTGAACTACTGGTGTGCATGGTTATTATTAAACTCTATATTGCTTGGGGTGAAAGACAGTCCCACTTACTTACTGTCATCAGAGAAACATTTGGGTTCCATACAGACACATTCGTTTGCATTTGCTCAAACATTGGTAACTACAACTAACACTCATGAATAAACTGTGTGGCACAAGTCAAGACCAACTAATATATGTAACTGCACACTGATCTTCTCTGTGTTCATCCATCACCCTAGTAAAGCTTTATGAAAGAACTTGTGAGCTGGAGTGTGAAACATTTTTATGTTTGTGGTACTAGAGACATATGAACCATGTTGACTGTTTGAATGATACAGAAACCACTAAGAAATCAGTGATTCAGTTATTAAACACTGTCCACAAGGATACTGTGTTCTGCCAAATGCCAATAAACAAACAGACAATGATGGACCTTACTTGGGGACATTTAGCAGTGGTAGACCTCACAGATCATTCATTAGGAACTTTAGGCAAAAAAATATATGATAAATATTTGCTGTCCACTGCATGTGTGTTAAGACAGCTGAATGATATAAAAGAGGTTTTGATAGTAACATGTGATTAATGGTACCCCTGTATTATGAATGGCTGGAATATATGCGAGTGCATGATATCCACATCGGTATTTTCTGAGCAATTTGTCGATAAAATGTGTAGTACATTTGATGATAAAGAGTATGGGAGGGTGGAAGATAAAATTAGAGTGTCATACTGGAGCTAAACACAAAAGATAAAATTGTTTAAGCTAGGCAGAATGGCAAAAGTAACATGCCAAATTAAATATGTTTCTTTTCTTAAGCTTAAAATTCATTCCCATTCAGTAATGTTATTTTCTTTCCGAGCATAAGGAAGATATAACTGAAGTTCCCTTTTAGTTTCACCATAACTAAATTACTACAGTACAGTACAACACAGTACAGTACATTATTTCACCAATCTAATCAACCTTAAGCAACACAAATCAAATTATAAAGTAATGGGCAGACAGAATTGATTTAAGTAGTGCAGTAGTATATGGTAACCACATCTGATGGGTTATAATAGTTATTCACTTTTTATAATACTGTACACCAGTTGCACAACATAAATTTAATGCACTGAAAATCAATTCATGTATACCCTCTTAATTCTTAGGAGAGAACAAAATGTATGCAAATCTTCAAGACAGAGTAACCAGCAGTATATCACATTTTACTCCTTTAGTTTTTCCAACAAATCAAAAGTGCAAATTTATTGAAAAACAAAAACAAAAAAAACTTTCCCTAATCATTCCAACTGCATGAGATGAAGTAACCCGTCCGTGAATATGAACATCCAATAGGTTGTGGCATTTAACATTTCCTGTATGAACTTCATAGGTGAACAGAATATGGCTCTTTAAATCATAAAATAAGACTGCTGAGTTAAGAAACAAATTTTGTAAGTTTAATCCCAGAAGTTCGCTACCTCATGGTACCATTTATATCTTAACATCTTAAGACAATGAACTCCTCAATTTTTAATTCACATTTCCTTCTTTCATGATCCAAGAAACATTTTATGCATACCTATAGAAACCTTGCATTATAAAGAAGTGTTCAAACCAAAAACAAATAAGGATAGACTCAGGTTCTTTTTATTCCAGCAATCACCACTCAGTAAAGGGCTTGAAAGAGTGTAAAAATAATAATCTTCTTTATTGTAAGTAACAAGGCAAGTGAGTTCGGAGACCTGCAGTCTAGCTTGCCCCCGAAGTTTCTGGGGTGAGAGTTATCAATGTGTTGGAAGACTCTGCCAGCTCAGCTATGGATACACGCCCATGTTGCTTAATAAACTTTGCAATACCCTCAAGCTCTTGTTTGCTGATGTATATGAATTTTCCTCGATCATCAATCACACCTGGAATAAATTAAAAGAAAATCAAAATATAAAATGCAAATTACTGGACAGTGATTTTTCGATTTCAGTGTTGTATTACCAAGGGAACGTTCGGATAGACGAGGAAGTTAAATTACAATATAGTACTGTATGTACTAATAAAAATAAGAAAGACTGAATATTGGTATATTACGCTAGTTTATCATCTCTTCACGTAAGAAGTTTAACATTATGATATATTTACAGTAACAATTCAATATCAAATTAATTAGAGTACAAGTTGTCCCTCTCTTATATGGCACCCTTGGGATAGTCAATAATTATTGTAATGGTACATTAGCCTAAGCTACACTTCGTTCAATGTCTCATAACATTAAGGATTTTTTTTTTTTTTTTTAAATTTGACGTACAAAATAGTGAATAGATTTAATATATAAACAAGTAACGTGACAATAATATTTATAAAAAAATATATAAATGAAATATAAGTTAATAAAGGAAAAATATGTAGAATTCATGCATCCCAGGCCACACTCAGTCATAATTTAATAATTCTGACCTATAAAATATAAACACAACACCAGCAGCAAGACCACATTTGCCTCCCACTGTTGCATTGTATATTCTATCCTTGGGTCGCATAGCAAGGGACAGAGAATATTTATTTTGTTAGTGATGAAAATTAAAGTGATTGAATGTTTTGAGAAAGGAGAGGGCATTACAGGTACTGACACTGCACATACAATCGGCTTTCCTGAGGCAACTAAACTTACCATTTGTGCTAGGTTATAACTCTTACAGGATAACACAGTATTTTGTGCAGATTACTAAGTCAATACAAGATAGAGAAGACAAATAGCAAACATATATCCATAGTGATGTCATCACGGGTGAGTGATCATCGATATCTTATCTTAAATACGAGAAATGTGAAAAGATCAACAACAAAAAATTAGTTTCTAACCTGTCAATGTTCCTTCCTTTTGCAATTCAGACACTCTGTTAATGACATCCTGAGTCTTCAGTTTAAATTTTGCAGCCAAATCTTCCAGCACCACAACCTTTTCTCCCTGGGAAATTAAGAATATATATCATCCTCCTGCATTGATAATACTTACAGGTATAGTTATAACTCTTAAAGGTGTAGTTACAATACAAGTATAGTTATAAGATTTACATGTATAAATATAATACAGGTACGGTATATCTGTAGAATTGAAATGACATCACAAAAAGGTTAACTGAATACACCACAGGTGGCACAAGGCCATAAATTACTTGGCAAAGGTTGGTCATGTTGGTATTTGATGGTGTAGGTGGTGTAGGTGGTCAGTGGTGTTGGTGGTGTTATTGGTTGGTGGTGTAGGTGGTTGGTGGTAGTCAGGGAGATCACATGATCATCTGAAGATAGTGAAGGCAAAACTCACTAGGACTCATTCAGACACTATGTCAAGACACAAGGAGCCTTCACCTCAGTGCATAACACACCTGTGCACTCAACTAATGTTGTGACAGTGTATTATGTAATTTCTTAGTAATTAATGATTGTTTACTATGATTTGTTGTGTATATCCATAATAGTGCATTGTTTACCATGTCTGAAAATCACTTGATTGATTGTTTAGTAAAAGATCAATGCTTTATGACAGGGGTCCCCAACTTAGGGCCCTTTAAAGTAAAAGCTCACACTATGTGTGAAGTATGAACCGTGGTGTTTAATAACTAATACAGTACAGTATACAGTACTGTATGATAAAATTAAAATTTCACATTTATTTTTCGAAGTAAAATAATGTTCCTACTAAATTTCATTCAGTACAGTAGTACTTAAAGCGTAACAAACAAGATTTCTGTATTTTTTATATATAAAATATTCAAGTTGATTCATTAGCAAAATCTCAAATATATTTAACTTTGTATTCTTAATTTAAACATTTTATAATTGGTCTTTTGTGTGTCAGCATTTTCAATTTGACTTTTAGTGAGTTTAATGAATAAACCTATTTCAACTCTCAAGTCATTGTACAAATCCTTGGCTTAAGGTTGAATCACAAGCAGACCGAGCGGTACAGTACATAACACTGACTTTCGTCCTCCATTTACAGCATGAGAAGGTGCTCCACATTCTTGACCAACAGATCCTCCTTACACTAATGAGAGTAACACATTGAGAACTTCAATAAACTTTATTGGCATTACCATAAGTTGATCTCATGTGAGGAGACTTAGAACAACACCAATATCCACCACACACTCACCAGTATCAAAAACTATAAGATTTCTAACTTAGTACTTGAACTGGTGGATTTCCTTGGCTTCTTTGGGGTAGGCACAGCACTATCACTTCCTGGGTACTTTGCACTCATCCTGGGATAGTCTGTAGTACTGTACTTATGGAAAATTAATAGTGAAAAATTAATAAAGGGAAAATATCCAAAAACTGAAGTGCATAACCTCTTCCCATGTCATTCTTGGTCTGCCCATTAAGCATCTCTTGAACCAGTGGGTCACCATTCTCTCACATGCCCAGATCATCTCAGCTTACCTCTACACAAGACCTCACAAATACTCTCAATACCCAGCTGCCCACTTAGCTCTACATACCTTAATGTAACCAACAAACTCATTAAGAAGGTTCTGCTCATTGTCTTCATCTGCAGCTTCATCAAAACCCTCCTCCTGCACCTCAAACTGCGCCTTTAACTTCATGTACTCTTCCAGCTCCTGACGTTCTTTCTCCTCCCTCGCCTTGCGCTCTTCATCTTCCCTCTTGGATTCCTCTTCAGCCTAAAGTATAACACAGATATAGTACATTTCTATCCTAATCATACTGACTCGGTCACAATCATAATCGTATTACAGTTTTGTATTTACTCATTCATTCTCTATTCTAATTATATTTTCTCATTCTCTATAGTCTATACCAATTACGATATGTGTAACTGTAGTCACTTATTCTATTTCCTTATTTTATATATTAATTATATAAATTGTTATTATCCGGGCTAATTATATCCAATTATGTATTCTCTATCTCAGCAATATTCATCAGGAACATTTGGTCTATACAGTGTATCCAGTATTCATTCATCTCCCAAATTTGTATAGGGTGGATCCAGCTTGACTGATGGCCAAGTAAAATACTTATATAATAACAATACAGTACTGTAATATGAAGTGGATAGTGAGTTAAACAAACCTCTAAACGTGAGGGAATAATTAGTTAGAGGAGCATGAGGCAAAATAATCAGTGACACAAGAAAGACCAAAGGCAATAAGTAAAAATATCCTCTTTATCCTGAGGAACAATTATTTCTGTCAACATACAACTGATAAACCCAAATCTCACCTCACGTTCCTCTTCTCTTCGTCTGTCTTCAGCTGCCTGTACCGCACGCTCCTTTCTTTCCTCCCGTTCTCTTTCGTCTGCCTGGAAGTGTACAACTCTGTCATGTGACAATCTGTAAACCGACCTTAACAGTAGACTAATTCCCCAGATTTAAAATAAACAAAATTGCACAACACAGTAACAATGTTCAGAGGATCTATCATGCTTACAAGATTTAGCCTACATACTGTGAGGACAGATCCAATTCTGTCATGTCTCTCATCTGGCATACAAAGAAGTTGATTACACCAATGTATTCACTGGGTAAAACTTTTTCTTTTTATATGTTAAAATTTTACCCATTTTTTTAACCCCATTTTCCCTGTCAGGATAATAACTCCAAAAGACCTGCACAGCATTAGATGACAGCATACTTTAGTTGTCACTTGAGGGACGAAGTAAATTATTTAATTAATCTAAAAAATTGAGCATCATAGAATTCCACTACCAAGCTTTGAAACTTATTTAGCCTTCAATGAATGCCAAAAAGAATCAGTTACCATTGTACTGTGGTAAACATTTAAGAACTGAATGCATTTTCAATGCACCGATATAGTAGTTATGACAGAAGCAGCTTTGGAGCTTTGAATTAATGTTATGAACAATTGTGTATGTATTTCATTTAATATGTATTAATTCAAAATTCTAATTAACTGCAACCTCTATAACTTCTATAACTCATTTTAACAATTAATGCCACATCATGCTAGTTAAAAAGACAAAAGTAAATTGCATGTTTTGACATATATTTTCAGTACCCGGACTATACCATAAGCTATGTAATTTTCCAAAGCTTGAAAAGACATTGTCAAATGTTGGTTTGTCTAAGTCAGGTAAACAATATGACCACACAGTAGTTTTTGTTGGAACGTTGGTTAGAAGTGGGTGAGGCTACTGATAGGTCAAACAGCAATAACTTGCCTCCCTCATAGCACGTTTGTCTGCTTTAGCTTGAAGCTTTGCCAACTTTTTCTTGCCAAGTTTTCCATCTGGAAGTGCAATGTCATCACCAACCACTGCTACATCATCATCTTCTTCATCAGAATCATCATCACGACGTTCTGAAATAGTTTTAATATTAGACTTGCAGTATACAGTTTCAATGACTGGCATTAATAAGCCAAAAGTTTTGCCAAAAACAGTCAAGCTGGAGAATTAAATTTGAAGACTGAGAGAAAGAAAAGTTGTGTTTCATACTGTAAAGCAGTTTCCTCCTAAGGACACATTGGCAAAATTCATGGCTCTAATATTTACAAGAAAAAATATCTTAAGCATCTTTTTTGTGAACAAGTTTTATTAGTGAATGAATTTATAGATCATGTCTTGAGTACAGGGGGTCCTCGGGTTATGAGTGGGTTACATTTCTCAGGACCTCCTTTAGTCGGAAATGTACGTAAGTCGCAACACATGCTATGTGCAACCGTACTTAAAGAACAATGTTTAAAATCCCACTATATTATAGCCTAAGTCCTTATGTACATTTAAAATTGCTTTACTTAAGAGAAAGGAAGAAATAGAATGACAAAATACAGTAAATGAAAATAAAAAATTTGTCATCAGGTAACTAAAATACTGAAAATTTGAAGTTTAACCTAGTTTGTCTAGAAGGTGTTTTGTTATGGTTACACTCATAAGAGAGGTCACAGGCAAGCAAGCTGTCACAAATAAAAAAATAAAATAAATAAATATATATATATATATATATATATATATATATATACTGTATATACAGTATATATATACAGTATACACATACGTGCAGCTGCTCTCATCCTTGCGCGAGCATTTCTGTTGGCAGCTGCACGGTTTGGGGGATGGACTCCTCCCGCTGCACCATCTTCACCCACTCGTGGACGAGGTGCTCGCACTCTCTCTTGAGCTGCAACACAAGCATTACAGTATAAACAGGCGGTATACAGGGGTAAATATATATAATATTCTGATAAATACAATGGAAAAAGATAACACAGAAGCCACAGCTGTTGACATCTTTAGGTCTCAGTGTTCTTCTTGGTTCAGTAAAGTGTTCAAGGTGCAGTAAAAGACACACTTCGGGTGCTTAGTGCTAGCAACAAGGAAGAGCATTACCGCCGATATTTTGCTTGGTACATGTTCCAAGCTCATCATAAGAATAAAAAAAACCATAGTATTGCACCACTTCCTCCTTCTCGTGGCATCACATTATCCTCCTCCATCTGTTAATTAATGTAAGTTTTGGGTAAATAAAGTTAGGCTAGGTTTACACATTAGGGGAGGTTAGGTCAGGTCCTTCAGGTTTCATTCGTGAGATTAAGTTAGACATCTACTGTATACTGTACTGATATTCTTGTTATTTTTGCATGTTTTTGCCCCGCAATGTTGGTAATAGGTGAGGGTTCATATCTAAAAAAAAAAAAACTCGAGTCATTATATAATCCATCCTAATCTAACCTAACAGAAAATATTAGTTATCTTGATTTAATATTATAAAAAAAAAATATCCTTTCCATGATACAAACAGTCAATAAAGAAACGAACGAACATGGCGGCCAGAGCTGGGCAGATCAAGACAGGGAAAAAAATGAAAGTGATAGTATAATGCAAAATATTTTCCTCATCCACATGTTGTGTTTCTCACGAGGTAAGAACGCATGCGTGACATGTCCGTAAGTTAATGGTTCAGGCACGCATGAGGCATATAGAAACGGAGTATGCCCATTTCGTCACCACTGTTTTCAACCCGCTTCGTCACCACTGCTTTATCAGTTTTGTCACAGCGTTCATTCCCATCAATATACAGTATACAGTACACGAAAATAACGAACACTTGGGATAGAAAATAATAAAAACTACTAAGATAATTTATTGAAGACGAAAATACAAAATAAAAACATTGTTAATACGCCTGCAATCATCTCACTTAAACAATATGAAAAACACTAAAATTTACTCGTGCACGCTTAGCAGAAGACCATGTCATTTTTTTTTAGGAAATTAGAAGTGGTGATATTTTTTCTTCACATTCATCCAACAGCTTCCAGAGATGGACTTGTTTGTCATGATTTGTTTTTCTTGTGCTCAGCAACTACTGTAATTGCAAATCATTCATTGCGGGTTCGCTGTGAAGAGGAGGGACGAGCGAGATTGTTCTTTGCTGTTCGGTGGTTTATGAGCTGTTGCCAAATCACCTTCATTTGTTCTGTATTTTGTTTATTTACAAATGTTTCAATAGTTTTCTATTTAAATAATTAATATTCATGTATAATAATAACACAATACTTCTCGAGTCGTCTGTATACATGTGCAATTTCTATTCGTGTAAAATAATAACTTACAATTTGTCACCAACAACAGCGACTGTTAGTGGTGACGAAACGGATTTGATATTGGTGACGAATTAGGGCATTGGTGACGAACCGGGTCGGTGACGAAATGGGGTGTATCCATAGAAACGCATAGATAAAACGAACTAACCACATCTACCTAACTTAAAATAATATGCCTAACCTGATCTACCTAACCTAATATACCAAACCTGAACTACCTAACCTAATCTACCTAGCTTAAGTAGGTTCATCTTATAACCCAATATATTACTTAATAGAGCAGTAGCTAGTCAATTTTTTCAATCACTCCTGTGGACGAAAAGAAACACTCGACATGGAAACAGTGAACGTGGATTTGTAGCATGTCAATGTACTGTACTGTATATTATTGATCAGGATGAGAAAAATCACCAAAATAATATTACACAAATTACAAATCCATGTCATTTTGTGAGATTTATCTTAAGGAAAGAAAACATTGGTAGAGGTGTAGAAAAAGGTGACCACCAGAAGTTATTTGTTGAATTTCTTGATTATTGCTATAATTATTGTTTGGATGATTTTAAGTATATTAAAAGAAACGACAACTTTCTATCCTAATCTTAGGTATGTTAGGTCAGGTTCTATTAGGTTCTATGCATTGTCGTTTCCATTTTTGTGTTAAGTAGAAAATATTTCAACCAATTCAGACAATTCCTTCTGGTGGTCATCCTTTTCTACACCTTTACCAAAACATTTATATTCTACGGAAATATATCGTTAAGTTACTGGTTAATGTAAGATACTGTGCCAGAGTATTATACAGATATGTCATAGTACAGTTTAGACCTGTCATAGTCAAGCCCTAGACCTGTCATAGTAAAGACCTGATATAATGAAGAAACAGCTGGAGACTACCATTCACACACTACTACTACTTAGTGATCACACATTTATCAGTTTATAGCATCATAACATTACCTTTTCCATCCTTTTTTTTATAATATGATATGAAACCGAGGAAGGCGGCTACCAGAAGGGCTAAAATAGTGTATATTACGACGTCGTTCATCTTCCCTACCTCACACGGGGTAAAGACTAATGTTGGGAGAATATGACGAACAGTATTATTATATCATTATTGATATTGATTTATTATACTTATTTTGCTTTGGCATTAAACTATGAATACTTATAACAATACATAATCTACTAAATTTATATATAATATTCGTATAAATAAATGGTTTAAGCATTTGTGTTCGTGGTGTTTCTACAACATTAGTAATCTACCTCTCGCACCTGAACCTTACAAAAACAAACCTCCTCCATATATAAATACCGGGGAGATATTTATTTAGTAAAATAGTCACGAACAGTGCACTGCTTGCATTGCTTTCATATGCTGTTTTAATATTGTTCTTGTGCTGTTTAATTCTGAGTTGTAATACTTTCCCAGTCTGACTTGCATAATTTCCAATACAATTGCTACATGGAATGCAGTAAACACTTCCATTTACATTCAAGGTTGGGCTATTCTTAATTAATATATTAGTAATAGTGGAGTCATACTTGAAAACAACATTAATGTTTAATAATTTAAGGGACTGAACTAACGGGACAAATTCATTGCGATAAGGTAGTCAAAATATTCTTAAATGTAGGAACTTTCCATTTTGAGTAGAATGAAATTTTTTTATCCCTTTTAAAAAAATGAATAACAAACAATGAAGGGTACCCAAGTTTTAGTGCAATGGACTGAATGTGTTGCAGTTCTTCATCAATAAATTCAGGGTCACAAATATGCAAACATCTCAAAAACATAGCAGAAAAAACTGACATTTTGGTAGATTCATGGTGACTTGAAAAAAAAAATGTATGAAACTGTCTACCTGTGTAGGCTTTCTGTATACCTAAAATTTATAGTTATGACCATTTCTCATGATAAGCATATCAAGAAATGGAAGGGATCCATTTATTTATTTCAATTTTGAAGGTAATTCTATGGACAAGATCATTAAGCTTGTCTAAAAATTCCAGTGGGCTCAGTTTCTAGGCCAAAGACAAAGATCATCATCTACATATCTATACCATGGAGGAATAAGGTCCCCTATATTGGGTAGTAATCTAGCCTAAAAAAAACTCCATATAAATACAGGCTAAAGGAGCAGAAAGACAACTACCCATACTCATGCCAAATAGTTGTTTGTAAAACTTTCCATTTGCTCTAAAAACAATGTCAGTAATGCTTAACTCTATCAATTTGAGAAATGTTTCATGTACAGATACATTGAACAGCTTCTTTCCCTCGGCGTTCACGAGAGGATGCGATTAACCTTCCTGCATTTGAGGACAGACGGTTCGACACAGCACTGACCCACATTGTGCTCACAGAAGAGGGTATTAGAAATAAACCGTCAAAGCTAAAGGTCCATAATAAAGGCCCATAAGAGTCCTCTCCCTGACTTGGTGCATCCCAGAGTGCCAAGAGAGTTGCGCAACGAGGGTAGACTGTTACATTTTTAATAAATTTGTTTGATTATATGGGAGAGGATTTTCCATTTATTATTTATTTGTATGTGTTTTGTGTGTGTCTACACACACACACACACACACACACATATATACAATACTACAGGTAAAAGAAAAGATATAATTGTCCAAAGGGCAAACACATAAAGGGAATACTGTATACATTTCTTGTAGCATATTGGCCATGGTCAGGGTTCAATACGTGTAGCATATTAGCCTAGGTCAGGGTTCAACACTTGCAGCATATTAGCCAAGGTCAGGGTTCAACACTTGTAGCATATTAGCCTAGGTCAGGGTTCAATACTTGTAGCATATTAGCCCAAGGTCAGGGTTCAACACTTGTAGCATATTAGCCTAGGTCAGGGTTCAACACTTGCAGCATATTAGCCAAGGTCAGGGTTCAACACTTGTAGCATATTAGCCTAGGTCAGGGTTAAGCCAATACTGATGCTGGTCTTCACTACCTCACACACATACAGTATGTGAACTCATGCAACACCAGTATACAAGATTGATAAATTTTTACAAGTTCTCCATAATGTCCCACAATATTTTTGGGTCCAGTTCTAGATATATCTCATCATTCCGTACATTTGTCACAAATGAATAATAGCGAATGTAATAGAACCTGACCAAACCAACAAAAGAAACCTACTTAACATTACAGTACCTAACTCCCTAGCTGGCGGGGGGCACAACCCCTGCCATATTAAACTGAAAGTACTTATTTTGCTATATGGTACCAATGAAAGCAACTTTACTGAAATGTCATGGTATAATTTTACATTCTATGTTGACGTGAGAGTACGCATGGACCGAGCAGGTTTGTTAAAACAGACGACATGCAGTGACTTGGCAGATTATGTGCAACTTGTAAAAAAATACCACAAGATTTGTACTTTGTACAATACAGTATGTATGACAATTCTATTGATTCAGTATAGAGTATTGTGATCAGTTGTTTGCGTATAGCATACCAACATTCCCTTTTTTCCTATGTTGGCAGACCTGGAGAAGTCCCAAGCATACACCACGATTTGTACCACCTAGAATAGGACCAACACCCATATTCTGGGCAAAGCTCACCGTGAGGATTCCTCATGAGGAAAGCCCACATAAAGCGATCTTGAATATGGCCACGTATCAGTACCTCTGGCGATTTCAGGTAGGCCTACATCTGTTGCCCTATCAGTCTTATATTTACATGGTGTTAAATATAATACATGGATAAAATATGGACTGAATAGATACTGCAATGCATACATAAATCTTTATTGATAAAGCCATTTCTACATCACAGGCTGCCCAAGCAAAGCTTTGTCTGCTGTGGTATTTTTTGGCTACATTCAGCTATCAACCACAGCATGCAGCATTATATGCTTCAATCAAATGAACATTGTAGTGAGTCTAATAAGTTTCCCATTACTAATAAATTTCAAGTCAATACTTGATAACCTGATCATGCAATGGTATTCATTGCTACATCAAATACATATACATAGCCTATATAAAAAAAAAATCTTCTTTGTAAAGTTTAAAAAAATAAAACAAAATATAGTTACTTTTTTTTAGCAAAAGGAGTAGTTAAAATAAACTGTATAAATTTATATATATGGCAGCATTCATCATGTAAACATAAAATCAGTCGTCATCATCAGAGATCATGCCATTCTTAGCAAAATCACTGGGGACTTCTTCTACCTTCTTGCTGGGTGAAGATTTTGTATCATCCCCTACATTGACACTGCTGGTGCCACTGCTGCTGCTGGTGCCACTGCTGGTGCCACTGCTGCTGCTGGTGCCAGTGCTGCTGCTGGTGCCAGTGCTGGTGCCAGTGCTGCTGCTGGTGCCACTGCTGGTGCCAGTGCTGGTGCCACTGCTACTGCTGGTGCCACTGCTTTCTCCAGGCTGGGGTTTAGGGGTCGATTTGAAGAAGGTGGTGATGCTCTTTTGCCATTCGGGAATAGGTTGGGGGTTGTAACTATTACCTCCAGAATATCTGAGGACAAATTATCTTTCTCAATAGTGGTTACATTATAAATGACAATACAGTACTGCATGTGCATTCTATTTTGAACTGGAGAGACAGAGTGAGCCTTCCAGCTAAGGGGGAATGCTAACTAAAAACAACGTGGAGAAGGCAAATCGGTTTCATCTTTAATTATAATATTTTCCTGAGAAGCTACCACACAACTATATCTGGCTACCAGCTGTATGGAAAATTTAAATCCTATTCCTTCATTAAACTGCTCATGGTGAATAAGTTAACCCTAGAAATGTTATAAACAAAGATAATGCAAGCATGTATTAGGGCAGGGATTACCCTCTGTGCTGAATAAAATCGTCTGGCATTAGCCAAATAAAATATTAAGTAGCATCCCTGTCAATGGAAGAGGGTGTTTAAAACTACTGTACAGCTATGAGAGTTTGTTGTGAAGGAATACTGGTATGTCAAGGATGTGATATGGAACCATAGTAGTTCAATAGGTGGAGTAGTAAGAGATGCATGTATAGTGAGGCAACTACTGTCTGCAGTTGGTACTGCTCTACAGGGTGATTTGGAGGAAATGTTACAAATATTAATGAACATATACTCTTTGCCACTGGTTGGCTCTCTAGCTGGTTAGGCCTTTAGTTTAAGAACATTAAATGTGTTTTGAATGTTTAATTTCTTGAAACCAACTAAATATTTAAAAATTTTAATTAAATGTTTTTAAAAGTTTAATATCAAACAAGACAATCAATCAACTGATGAAAATCACATTGGCCAACAGCATCTATGTAAGATAACACACAATTCATGGCACTCCAAAGTCTATTACCAGTGCAGTTACCTTGAGTCTGAATAATTGCAGTCTAGGAAACAGATGTTCAGACACAAGGCGAGTTATAATTTGCTAAAAAGTGTTTTGAAATGAAGTCCTCAGTTTATTGATATTTAATAATAATTTCTTATTATCTCTCCTTCTGTTAGTCCTGGAACTCATCCCTGTGCCTCTTATGTTATATCTACCTCTGTGTTAACAAATTTCTTTACTATGAAGTCATGGATTGCATCCACTTCTTTATGAAGAATTACTGTGCGTGTGTGTGCAGTGTAAAAAAAAATGGTGTACTTACCTGTCTTTGCCTGAGGCCCTGCCAACAGAGGAGGAAGAAGCACCACCATTGGGTGAACTAAACACCTTTCTTGGTGCCTTAGCAGCAGACACCTTGGTTGCTCCAGCATCAGCACGAGTTCGTACCATCTTGAAAACTGTGTAGACACTGTAACAGATAACCTGCAATTACAACCAGAAAATATGTACTTTATGAATAAGTACAGGTCATAGATAGGTTATGTTGGTGCCATACGGCTGCTAACAATGCTTCGACAGCTTGTGTTTTTTATCGAGTAAGGTTAGGTTAGGTTTAATTCAGAAATAACCCCATCTTAACACATTTTCCCAAACTACAACAGTGTCCACTGAAAAACACAGGCATGTCATAAATATTTACCTAGAATTGGATGTAAATAATTCCAAATCATTCCAAGATGATGAGAGCAAGTTGATACGAGGGCTAAAGTGGCTGGTTAACGGGAAAGTGTCCCCGAGTATTAGCCTATATGAACGCCCAAGGTCCAAGCACACTGCCTTGTGTTACAACATTTGCCATACACGCATATGAATATTGTGCCATTAATCACCACACACACTGCTTAGTCATAGAGAAAGTTTCCAATCGGTATTATTGTATTTCCGTACCCAACATTCCTACCCCTAATCTATTATCATATTCGAATAAGACGTCTAATTATAAAATAATTTTCTTCCCGTACACGTCATGAGGCCAATCAAAAGCGGGTTTTTTTTGCAACCAATTTAAATGATTTGTGGTTTAATTCGCGGTAATTTTGGCCCAATCAAATTCGATTTTTACTTTGGGTCTCATATTTCGAAATTCAAATTCATTTCCGACCATGGAAGTCTGCGATGGGTGCCACTTAAATTATATGGAGCCGATTGCGAGTTTTATGGGAAAAAACGAAGAAACTATAGCATTTTTAGATCTCATGATGTTCTCTCGACCTCAGTAAAGTGTCCTAAGTGCAAGAACCAATGTAAATATCGTCAAGACCAACATATGTGGCATTGGGGTAACTCTAACGACGAACGAGAACCAGGCCAATAAGGTAAGAAATAAGTGATTCCATCATATGGCGAGTCAGTTAAGTTAGGTTAGGTTAGGTTAGGTTAGGTTAGGTTAGGTCAGGTCAGGTCAGGTCAGGTTATGTTTTAATTTTTATTTTTTTTATTCTCTTAGCCATTGTTTTTTTTCGGAAAACGCCCCACAAAAAAATCTATAAAAAACCCGGCCAATTACTGACGGAAATGAAGGTCATAACCAATCTAAACACATATAAATACACTAAAAAAATATAATTCTTACTTTTTAACAGAGTTGGGTACACTTACACAAATTTACCATCCAATCCACATTAAGTCCTCCAAAATACCGTTCCTTTCCAGTTAAACTTTTAGACATCCTAGGGGGACGTTATTAAATACCTACACAAAGTAGTATACAATATATTACCAACATTCTCACTACACACAACCATCACTTGTCATGAACAGTCCTGCTAAATTCGATAATGAACTTCTATTTCTCACCTGTTATGTCGTAGTTTAATGAGAATAAAGCCCCACCGTCCTCACTCTGGCTTTGATGAGAAACAATTACTAACGCGGGAAGTTTTAGGCGGGTAAAGTTAACGTTCTTAATCCGGATTATTTAAAACCTTTCTAACGTTTATATGAACAAAACTCTTCAATAACTAACATTTAAAGCATGCAAGAAGATTAGTAATTACTCTATTCCATCAAAATTTAATTATGAGAGATAGAACTCTTTTTGAAATCTTAACCAAACTCAAAATTATAATCAAGGGGGAAAGTAAAATCCCTAACACATAATTTATCCTGTATAGAATGGTAGTTATTTATTAATTAAAATCATGTGATGTACTGTAAATGTTATTATTATCGAGGAAGAAATAGATAAGTTACAAAGGATCTAAAAGGAGAATAAGGAAAGGAAAGGAAAAAGGGATTTAAATATACAAGAAAAACATACAGTACAACAACAGTTTTTTTTTATTATAGTCATTACTTTATTATTACCATTATTTTTATTTATAACCAAAGACTATAATAATACAGTAGTTATAAGTCAGCTTATGCGTCTTAGCGAGTTTCCTGGTGCCTTTAAAGTTTTATCTCTGCTAGAACGCATTTTCTTCCTGTTATTTTGAAGGTTACTTAAAAGTTTTCAGTCTTGGTGCCTCATTTTTCATCCTTCATCATATCTCACGTGCAACAAATTAACACTCATATACTATAGCCACCTCAGGTAGGTCCTCATTGATGATTTTTGTAGCTAGTTTAAGTGATGGGACGGTGGTTAATGTGGTGGAGGTGCTAAATATGTTGTGGTTGTGATGGTTGGCCTATACTCTACATCCTGTTTGTTGATGATCTCCTACAGGTGTGTACAGGTGTTTTACAGGTGATACACAGGTACCTGGCACGTGGTTTTTAAGTATATGCTTAGTGAATGATTTTGTACGTTGTTTAAGTAATGAAATAATGGTAAATATGGTGGGAGGCCCTAAATATGCTTTACTAGTGAGAGTTACTTGTGTAATAGCAGTGCTGCTAGACTCCGGCCTAAAATTCCCCAAGTCCTTTTGTGAAAATTCCCCCCAAACTCTTAATTTCTTATATTCTTATCTAATTGCCATATCAGTTAAGATATCTATTTTCCTGAAATAATGAAGCATGTAATTAATATTGTAAATGCAAAATACAGGCATAATAATGTCACAAAGTTAATTCACTAACTGTAGGCTACTTTCTTGTCTTCATTTCCAAGATCTGATTCAGTGATACTTTTGTGGTAATGTACTGTACTGTACTGTACTGTACTGTATTGTATTTCTAAAGTTTGGTTTTCTTGATTTTTTTCAATCAATAAAATTTCTAATCCTTTTATCTATAGATTTAATTAGAAACAAAATGTAAGGCCAATTAGTTTTTTCAGTCAGAATAAACTTTACAATATGAACCAAGTAATTTTCCTGAATGTCTCAAAGATATAAATAAATAAATAAGCCAGAGAGAAATAAAATAAACATTTCAACTAGTTTACTTTTACATTTAAACGTGTAACGTGCTTTCACTCTTACATGAGTTAGAGTGAGTCACTATCATTATACACAGCTGACCTAATCTTTTTAACAATTGACTTTACTTTATCCTCTTTGTCACTGATCAGCCTGTTAGCTGCTTGTGCGGTTGGTCATGTCTCTGTTATGTACTCTTAACAAGTACTGTACAGTACTGTGGATGTACTGGTTTTGCTCTGGTGGATATGATATTCTTAGTGATATCAGTCTTTATGTACAGATTAAATCAACTGTAGAGGATGACATGATGTTCAGGGGTAAACTATGTTCCACAACGAATACTGTTAGTTTTGTTTCACCTTTCTCATCTCTATCCTGTGTCAAATGTTCATTAATAAGTAATTTCCCCATTAGCTGGATTTATTGCTTCTGGGTTTGAGAGACTTCTGGGTATGGAAATGAATTTCCTCATCCCAGGAATTTTCATGGGTACTGGGGAAAATTTTCCGAGAGTCTAAACTACATATGTACAATATGTACAAACTAACCTACTGTATACACTATTTTTGCTTTTTTCGCTCCCACTGAGGACTCCCATTACCCCATTCTTGATCGAATTACATTGGCTTCCAATTAAACAGAGTTCAAACTTTGACCAATGACTTTTTAGAGACAATGTTTGGTTAGCTTGAGAATTTGGCCAACTTACTAATTCCACTGACTACACATTCTGAAATGATTTTGTAAAGTAGTAGTGACGATACTTCATGCCTGGAGGAACCTAGAGCAGTATGGGATTGTTCTTTTGTGGTCAGATCCTTTTCCTCTACATCACCCAGATTATATAATCAGTGGTTTGCATCCATGGAGCAGCTGACTTCTGCGGAGGCCTTTAAGATATTTTTATTTATTTATTTTTTTGAAAGCTTATGATCCTGGCAGAAATCGAATGTCACTTTTTGTTATCTTTTTATGTAGTACTGTACAGCATTTATTTTTATTCTCAAGTCTTTGACTTTGTTGTGTTTCTAGTGTTTGTAAATTCTTGAGAAGAACTGGTACTTTTGAGAAAAAAAAGACCAACTAATATTATTATTATTATTAGTAGTAGTACTAGTAGTACTGTACTCTCCAGCAGATGCTGTAGTCTTGAGCTTGTGATGCAGGCAAGCCAAATGGTGATATGATGAGACAGAATGACTTGCCTTTGCCCTGTACCACCTCCTGTAGCAGGTGTTGCTGTCACTCTCCTCTCCCTCCATGAACGAGGGATTGTATACACACTTTACACACTACAGTACTATACAGGCAGTTCTCTTGTTCTGTTCATCTGACTTAGGATCATCTGCACTTAGGAACAGGATTCCAATACCTTCATCACTGAAATTTGTAATTAAATTTCCATTTTTTACATTATTTTCATTATTCTATACTCTATTGTTTAACATCACTATTTACAGTATTTACATAACTGTATTTGTTATGTATGGGATATTGTTGTTGTTTTGTATAGGCAAGGCTGTGCTTTAACCTAACCTAAACTATAGAATTAACATTGTTCCGACTTACAATCAGGGTCCAGGAACATATCCCTGTCTTAAGTTGGAGAATGCCTGTATATACACACCCTCTGCACACTAGCCAATGCTGTCCACTATACTATGTAAAGTACTTCTGTAAATATGGAATTTTCACACTTACTGAATGTACAGTCGATCAAAAAACTATCCTTACAAAATTGTGGTAGACAATATGATGCAACGGACGAAGTATTTTGGCAAACCTGCTGAGACAACGTGAGTCACAGTGTTCATTCTGAAATTTATTGACTCCCAAGTACAGATAGTTTTTTGATTGACTGTACAATACAGTATACATAACTGTAGTAACGTTTGATGTCTTAACACTGCTTGAACGGTATTCTTGGTTGATTACTGTACAGTATATGCTGGTACAGTAATGTACAGTATTACACAGCACAGATCATATGTGAAAACAGCAATGAGAAAGCGAACAAGCTTGTGCAATGGCAACAGACAATAAACTAAGAGTGTCAAGATGTAAGAGTTTGAGGAGATGGGCTGTGAAATACATCAGCCAATTATAGGTGTCCCATGCAATCACATGATAGTAGTGGCCAATTGTTGCTCAGGGAACATGATACACTCTCTTGGAAATTTGTTTGAATCCCTGGAACAGAGATTTTATCAGAATTTTTTGGAAATGTGTATGATACAATCCTCGGAAATTCATTCAGATACCCAGAATGGAGAGATTTTTCCTGGAATTTCTTTGAATGCTCAAAAAAAATTTTCTGGGATTGAAGATTCTGGACAATTGAAAATTTACTGTAGATGACAGTGAAATAAGGGTGGGCTGTTCAGAAGGTTTCATTGTGTTTAACCTCACGTGTATATCATATCAGTATTTATATACAGTTTACCCTGTATTCAAAAATAATTTTTTAGGAAGTTTGTGAAGAACTATAATACAGTACATGCAGCTATATGTAATTTAGAGGACAATTCTAGTTCAGGCCAAAATATCCCTAAATGGGATAAGTCGTCCTTTTCTTTTGATATTGCATTAAACTTAAGAAAATATCTAACAAAAATATTCCATAAGTATTTTAGAGTTATTTCAGTGAGTAGAAGCAAGAACGTGAAATTAAAACTTAAAATTGCATAAAAATGCAGCCAAACTGGAGAAGAACTGTTGCTTATTAATTGGATTTATAAATAAAAGTTTGCTTCTACTGTATCTTTTTGCTTATTTATGGTTAACAACAAAAAGCACACATAAAATATATTTACTGTACTGTATCTCCACTGTCTGAGGTTAGTACACTACTTTTCTGTTAAACCCCCACAATTTAATTTTTTTTAAGATGGGAAGTTAGTTTTATTAACTAATCTAACCAAACGTAGGTTTTGTTAGTTTTTTAGTAAATTTACCAAACCTAACATAAGTAGGTTTGGTTTGGTTTGGTTAGATTAGGTTAGTTGAAAAAAAAGATTTATAAAAAGGTTGTAGGGTACAACAGCAATGTATACTGTACTTATATCCATCAGTTTGCATGATTGTGAAGTACTGGAAAGATACTGTGTATAGATAGTTCAATACAGTGTCTGCAAAAATTAAGATAATTAAACACAGTATAACAGGCATTTTTAACATTTTATTTTATGTTATTGTTCAACGTTTTATTAAGTTTTGCTTTGGTTTTAAGTGAAGATGGGCATGCAGTGAACTTTTAACATCAGTTGAAGTTGACTTGGCATGGAGTCAGCAAGTGTTTGGAAATAATCATGACCCATCTCCAATGTCTGGAATATCTAACTGTAATTTCCTTGTATAACTGAGGTTCTAATGATGTGTTCCATGCTGACAGTTTGCTTCATTTGATTCCATGCACTCTCTGTTTAGTTCAGGTCCAATGATTTTATTGGCCACTCTAGCACTCAAATATTCTTGCATATGCTTTGTGAGGAGTGGTTTCTTGGTGGCATGATGAGATGGCATGTTCAGCTCCTGTTGCAGATGGTGGTGAATCATTTGTAGCTACAGTAATTTTATTTTAGATTGCTTAGAAGAAAATGTGGAGGT